ATACTCCCACACGACAGAAACTCCTCTAGTCCTCGCTGGATCCAAATCTCTCAGTAGAAATATCAGTGGTTTGCTTTGTTATCTGCCACCATCAAAACACTCCACAAATCCCGCGAATGATTCACTTCCTTATAAACCGAAACAGTTAGGTTCTAAATGAAGCTTCGGACGTCACTGATCACGTGACTCTGGCCAAACGAATCAAGCTTCAACACAGTGCTTCTAGCAGTGTGTTGGTTTTTTTGACACACGCACTGGAGCATCAGCTTCAAGCGGGCCATCACTACCTACAGCATTGATCTTTCTGTAGTGGATTCTCACACATTTCAGTGATTTGGTGATTAAAAGAATATGAACTTTTAATATTCATTCAGATGTTTTCTGACTCTAAATTTTCTTTTGCCATTTCTCAAGTTAACAAAAGTTGAACTGAATCTGATGTCGGGAGCCACTCCAGTGTGTCCTATGTGTTCTGAAACCCCAATGTGTTCCTACAGCGTACAGACAGCCACTCTGTGATCATCTTCTGGGGACCTCCGTACAAGATAAGAAAAGATCTCAAAGCAGCCTTTTATGGATCGCTCCAGAGAGTCAACATGACCTACAGAGACATCTCCTAATTTACTGTCACCCAGAGCAAGATGCTCACATTTGATGATCTTTTCCTAAGAGAAACAGGATATGACCGGTGAGTATCAAGTGTGCTGACAAAATGTCTTTTCTTATTCTTCTTGTTGAATTATATCACATTCATATATCATTTTTCTCCTGCTCAGAGACCAATCTCACTCATGGCTGAGTACAGGCTGGTTCACAATGGTAGCTGTTAAATAAATGTAGTGTTGCACAAAAATGAAATGTACAAAGTAAAACTTGTACCTCACATTCTTATTTGGATATATACACTTTCTTATACTGCACCACTGTTCTTTTGGAGGCGAGGGAGGTTATGGTCATTTGTACCCTGAGGTACCTTGCTCAGGAGTACCTCAGGGTAGCCATTCAGTGGATTCGAACCCCCGACTTTCCAATCATGGGGCGACCACTCTACCTACTGAGCTATCCCTGCCCCCAGAATTGTGTCCACCCCCAGTAGACCCACTAATTGTGTGGCATTTAAACCTTTTTAACTCAATGTCATGCTACATGCAGCTTTAGTTCAATTCATCCACAGTATGCATCGCAGTCGTGGTATGGATAAGTTTTTCGATCTTTGGCCTGGACCAGATAAAGTCAACTTTCAGTTTCATACACGTCCCATTTTTAAAACTGTTATAAGAAACTTGTAAGTAGAAATATTTTACTACAGGAACATCACGCTCAGTTTACATTGTTGGGTATATATAGCCTGCTTTGATATCAAGTATGTCGAACCAGCAAAAGATGTTTAAACAACATGTTTTAAGGACACATTTAATCCCATTTAATACTGAAATTTGTGCAAGTTTAAAAAGAAAATGTCATTTTCTTTACTACACAATAAAAACTAATTTTTCTGCAGTAAAAACCACAAATCTGTCAGCACTAATAAATAAATGTGGTAAATTACAGAAATGGGCCTGGTAGTTCACTGCCTAAAAAATCTCCCCCAGTGGACCCACTTAAAATAAATCAATACAAAATTCTATATAGAGAGGTTTTTCACTACGGTTTAATAGCTATTGGTTGTCTGTTACTTAATTATATAGGAGTAGTGTGAATTTCAATGGTGGAGGTCTATATCATTAGGAAACCCTTTAAAACCTATGAAAATACAGTTGAAAATCAAAATCTGTTAATAAACAGTTTGTTCCCATTTGTTTGTCCATGATGGTCTCTGCACTGTTTTTCGTGGAATAGATTTGTACTGCTGACACAAAACACACCAGTTCATGCATCTGAATAGTATTTATGGTTCAATATGTGCAATTTCTTGAAGCAACAGGGATAATAAACATCAGACAACATTAGCAGATCTATTGCTGACTGCATTCAATGCAAAAATTGGGTGAAATATTCTTACAGAAGGCAATGCTAAATGCTCCAGATCTGGACTTTAAAACATTAGTGCTTCTAATGAAGCACTACTGCTGGAAACAGCAGCTGTGATCTTTGGCCGCAGGGCCGCCATGGAAATTAAGATGGCCTCCTGGTGACAGGAAGAAGAAAACAAATAAAAACACAGTCAAGCTGCAAAAGTGTTTATTATGGTTTATGGTTTGAAAAATGCTTTTCAAACTAATTTTGAATAACTGCTCTCACCTCGGTACGAATGGTCCTGCTGCCCTGACCGGGACACGTGTTGAGGTAAAGGTCAAATAAAACACTGGGGTCAGTCACATCCAGCTTTTGGTCGGCATCTAAACTGGCCTCCAATCCCTGAAGACCTCCAAAAACGACCAAGAGATGTCTGCAAAGTTAAAAAAGAAATAATTAAAAAACCTTTGAGAGGATGTATTCAGAGACACTCGTTCTACCGCCCTAATGCTTACCAAATTTAACATATTCTGAATGTTAAGTTTACACGCTAACGGTTAAAGGCCGTTTCAAGCAACTTACTTGAATGGCGTCAGTGATGCCTGGTCTGCATTGCTGCCTCTTTCTGATGTACCAATAGTCAAATCATATCCTCCTTTAAAGGGGCTTTCAGTGAAAACTGCACCTGCAGGAACGGGGAAATAGACAAGCGCGTGGATAAAGCAGTGGTTGGCAGTAGTCGTTGACACAGACTGCAAATGAATGCAAAGCACAATGTTGAGAGTTAAATGGGAAACCTACTGAGACAGGATGCCAGACGAACACTGTAGCCCCAATAATAACCACCTTCAGACCTGGGCACGTGAGGAGCCACGACAACACCTTTATATGCTTTGCCTTCTGCAGACAGTTTCACAGATAGATGGACCCAAACTTAACTGATGTGCTTAAAAAAATAACAAACCTTGAGAGTCTGGTGAAGAAAAGTACCTGGATTTTGTGTCTTGCTGAGCCGTACTGTGACTCGTAGTCCAGGCTGCAGCTGCTTATCAATCTGAACTTCCTGTGGGACCAGGAAAGTGAACATCGTTCAGTTTATATTCTTAGATAATTACCAATAAATAAAGAGTACAGTATAAAGAGAACAACAGCTGTGCTCCCAGTGCAGGATAGCTCACCTTTCTCATTCCACAGTCGACAAACGACCCTTTATTCTGTTTGGTAGGCCTGTCGACCACGACGCCTTCCCTGTAGTCAGATTCCTCGTCTATCCTCATGTGGTGAGGACTGTCTAGAGGGTTAAGCAAACCTACCAGAGAGA